TTTTTTTTTCTGCTTATGTGGTGCTGAGGAATTGAACCCAGGGCCTCATGCGTGCAAGGCAAGCGCTCTACCACTGAGCCACCCTCCTAGCCCCGATAGCGATATTTTTAAGCATACAGTTTATCTAAAATATATACTTTCTGTGCAGCCTTACTCAAAAGCTACTGGAAGATGTATTCCGTGAAAACATGATAAACATAAAAGAAGAATGTGGGACTCAGAAAGTAGTAAGAGAGGTATAGGGATTTACCAGAAGGAAGAAAGAAAGTTCAGAAACAGCATCTGCTAACCAGGTCTATAAAGGCTCCTGTCCTATTTCAAAAAGAAGAATCAAGTTCCAGGGACAGTTTTGCCAAGAAAACATACACATGCTCACCCCTACATTTTGTTATTACATGGCATGTATAATGTATGCATGAAGAGATCATGACAGACGAAATCCCTTATCCAAGAGGCAAGGGATAAATTACAGATATGTAACAGTGAGTAGGCAATCACAATTTTTTTTTTAGAGGCAGCGCAATCCAGGGAAATTAATCATCATGCAAGAGAAATATAATACACTGACACCCGGTTGTGAAAATATTTACATAATTTCAACAAGCAATGAATCTTAACATGAACAAAATTGGTTAGATTTGGAAAGATAAGTTAGCGTTGAAAAGATAAGGTAGGAATGTGGGGCTGGGGAGGAAGGCATAAGAGGTTAAGCACTCATAGTCCTTAGAAGGAGGTCATTGTATAAACAATCACTTGGAACAGTTGGAACTTGAGGCATAATCTCTGAAGGATGGCCTGTTAAATAAAAGGTGGCTTATGCCTGTAATCCTAGCTACTCTGGAGGCTGACATCTGAGGATTGTGGTTTAAAGCCAGCCCAAGCAGGAAAGTCCATGAGACTCTTTATCTCCAATTAAACACCACAAAGCCAGAAGTGGAGATGTTGCTTAAGTAGTAGATAGTTAGCCTTGAGCACAAAAGTTCAGAGACAGCAGGGCGACAGTGGCTCACACCTGTAATCCTATCTACTCAGGAGACTGAGATCTGAGGATCATGGTTCAAAGCCAGCCTGGGCAGGAAAGTCCATGAGATTCTTATCTCCAATAAACGACTAGAAAACCGGAAGTGGTGCCATGTGGTAGAGCGCTCACCTTGAGCTAAAGAGCTAAGGGACAGTGCCCAAGCCCAGAGTTCAAGCCCCATGACCAACAACAACAAAAAAGTAACAACCAAAAAAAAGAAAAAGTGAGCTGCAGGGTTCCATCTTGAGTGTGTCTCAGTATGTTTGAGGTGGGACCCCAAATTTGCATTTCTAACAAATGTCAAGGACCACTCTGAGAACAAGGGATACAGAAAGATTAAGAAAAATAATATTAAACTGGGGCTGGGAAGGTAGCTCAGTGGTACTTGCCTTACATGCATGAGGCCCTGGGTTCAATTCCTCAGCACCACTTAAGCAGAAAAAGTGGGAAGTGGCGCTGTGACTCAAGTGGTAGAGCGCTAGCCTTGAGCTGAAGAGCTGAGGGACAGCGCCCGGGCCCAGAGTTCAGACCCCACGACTGGCAAAAAGAAAAAAAAGAAAGAGAATATTAAAAACAACAGTTGAAGACTAGGTGCATGGTTGAGGTAGTAGCGTGCCCCGGAGTACTGTACACAGTTGAAAATATTAGTAGGAATGGAAAATGGAAGCAGGAGGGCTGCTGGGCCATTATAAATCTTGTTAATGCTTCTTGATGTTTTAAAGTACATTTTTCTGTCAGGTACTCTAGATACTTTAAGGTTGTCTGGAAACCACATTCGGTGTCTATTCATCCTTGCATTTAAGTCTAACTACTTTATCACAGTAGAAACTCGTGTAGAGCTCCATATAATAGATGAACTGGTAGGATACTATTAATTATCTAGAAAATTCCCATCTGTGGGAGAGCTATTGCTAAGCTAGGTGTTTTATATAGCCATTTAGATCTGTAATCTGTTCTTTTCTCAGCATCTCCATGTGAGCAAGTGGAGAGAGAGAATGCTCCCACCCCTACGAACTTTTTCATTGATAAGCCATTCTCTCTTCCTTTCAGCTCTGCTCCAAGTTTGGCAAGAGACCCTGTTTTGAAGCAGAAGTGTTTACTGACCACTGAGCTCTAAGGGGCTGCCTTTCCCCCAACACTTGTAACTGGAATGCTCAGCACTCTCCAGCAGCCGTCCTGGAATCCTTTTGAGCTGGAATGTGTTGGACTCTAGAGCTTGTCCTGTACGTGCTCTACCTGGATTTGACTTTAGCTCCATTTTAAAAAAGAAACTAAAATTTCCGTCCAACTGGAAGTTTAAGCACACTACAATCTGCTCAACTGAGGGTATCTGGTCTTTTACTTTATTATTAGAGTCTTCAAATTCCTGAATCAGGGCAGTTCCCTGCTGTTTCCTCCAAGCTCTTGGCTCCACCTAGCGGTTATGTGTTCGTAGTGACTTCACAGCAAGGCAACTCGGGTTAGCTACATCCCTTTGATTACTATGTGTTCCTGATCTGAATGCCTAAGAAATGGCACTTTCCCATACATTATCTGGGAATAATCAGGAAGGTGTGGTAGATAGTATGTTGGTAGATTTGGGGCAGCTCTGTGTGTGTGTGTGCACACACACAAGCATGCGCACACATGCTGGTCCTGGGGCTTGAACTCGGAGTCTTAGGTGCTGTCCCTGAGTTTCTTTTGCTCAAGGCTAGTGCTTTACCACTTCTGGCTTTTTTGGTAGTTAATTGGAGATAAAAGTGCTGGCTTTGAACATCGATCCTCAGTTCTTGGCATCCTGAGTAGATAGGTTACAGGCATGAACCATTGGCACCCTGCTTTGGGGCAGCTCTTTTGCAGTTAATACAATATTCAATAGAAGTTAGTAGAGAATTTTAAATATCTCCCATGCTTTGACTGCCTATGGACTGGCTATCTTAACTACTACAAATTTATGCCAAGGTGAAATAGTCACTGAAAAGAACCACAAAGCATTCAGTTGTTTTCATATTTTTCCCAGCTCTATCACAAGAAACACTTGTATGCACCGCATACCTTACTACAACTTTGCCCAGAAGAAGGCAAGTGTCTGGACATTGACCTGAGGCATCTCTGTCTTCCTGTACCAGGGGGATTGCAACCCTGTACACTCAGGAAGGCTCAGCACAGCATAGCAGCACTCCACTGTGTAACCTTTCTTTCTTTTCAAGTCCAAGATGTAGCCTTCCTTTTCAATTAGAGCTGATTAATTTTGGAGCTTTCAAACTGGGTTTGGAAAAAAGAAAAAAAAACCACCAGGTAGAAATAGAGAATGAAGTAGAGACGAAAGAATTTTGTTTCTTGAATACTTATCATGGAACTCCACACAGTATTTTGAATAGTCAATCTGCTTTAAGGATTTTGCATTTGTTAAGAATTCCTTCATCTCTGTACAAAACAAGCTCTGGATATGCAATAGTACATGTTCATCACAGAAAACAACACAAATATTTATCCATCTGTAATCCCTGTACCCAGAAATAACACTATCATTTAGCTTTAAATTGTAGACTAAAAGATAAGCACCCCAATTACCCAGGGGAATGAGGGAAATATGTAAACAACATTGGTCATCCATAATCCTTTGTTATCAAGGGCTGAAGTTGCACTATACCTCCTGGAATTTGTTTTTTAGATATCTGTCCAGTGATGGCTATATAATTTGAGTATTCATTTATACTTTTCAGCTGAAAGAACATCCAGTTTGATGACCTTTGAACTGCCATGGTTTGAACTATCCTGAGCTCCCTGTAGCATAATTACATATGTAGGCAAACACACCAGCATCTCACTGGAGAGCTCAGGAATTTTAATCTTGCACTGTTTTCCCAAGGATCTGGAGAGACTGAAAACCATTTTTGCACAAAACATGATTGCTGAGAGAAAGTTGTCCATTCTCGGCCATTATTCTAAGCAGCAATGCTCATGCCAGCTCCCAGTTGTAAAACATATTTTCTATCAGCTGTAGGTGACACCTAGAACCTGGGGCTTAATCCAGGACATTTTGGGCTGGGCATTCCATTGTCGGTGTGAAAGCCCTGGATGCCTATAAGGTTGATGGTGCTGCTAAGCACAAAACAGCTAAACCCAAGGTAGCTTACAAGGCTTGAATGTCCCATCCTGTTGAGGTAACACTCTCCTTATTTTAAACTTTGCAAAAGTTACAAGTTAAGTAGCTGAACATAGTCTATAATATTTGTGTGTTCAGGTACTTGAGTTCTTGCCATCCAGAATATTCAGTAGGAACTTTGTTAAAAATCTATTTGAAGCTCAAGCTAAAAGGAAATCTTAGGTCGTGGCATGAAGTGGTAAACATGGAAATGAATACTTGAATAATGAGTTATCCTTGACACATTCGATACTTGTCAGACACTGGAAACCTTGACACACCACACTAAGCTTCCTGTCCCACCTGCTGAGGATGTCATCCCCAGATCTGCTGCAACAGCGTGGCATCTCCTCTACGGATAGTAGGAGTGGAAAGAGGCACAGCTGAAGGGTCTCTGCACGTAGTGGGAAGGAAAAGGACATGTGTGAATCAGATGAGGATGCTGGCAAAGAGACTAGAGGTGACACTGGGTAAAAAGCAGCTGGTGATGTTGGACTGGAGGTGGAGAACTGGCAGCAAGCCTTTTAATGGCTTGTTTGTATCACACACTGCCCTGGGCTTGCTGGGACTAGAGCCATAGTAGCTGTTCTGCTTTTTGTCCAGGGGTAGCACCAAGAGAGGAGGGTAGTCACATGCCTTGGTGAGGGAAGAGGGAATCAGTGTGGTGGTTTCAAGTAACCTGTGAAGTTATATGTCCTAGTCTCTGTCCCAGCACTTGTCAACTGCAGGGAGACCTAATTTTGACTTTTTCGGCAGCATCTCCCTTCCTCACAAGAAAGGCTCTTGTCTCTTATTTCCACCCTGCAGGAACACTGCTGAATAGAGCAATGGTTACATTGTGTGTTTGCCTAGCTTTAAGACAAATACTCTGTGTTGTTTTACATGATCACAGATGTCCTGTGGACCTTTGAGGATAAGACCCCTAAGCTGTTCCTTGGCTGCCTGGGCTTGTTCTCTTCTGCTTTTCTGTTCTCACTAAAATATATACCCCTCTGTTTCTTAGCTAAGTCCTGGAAAGAAAGTAGTGTCCTTCTAGAACCCTGGCTAGAAGGTTGTTTGCCAGTCACTCACATAAAGAAAAACCTTGCATAGTTTTCTAAATAAGGGTTTTAAAAAACAAAAAGAATCTTGTTTCATCATTTAGCAGGAAGCATACACTTGCTCTGGAAAAGGGCCAGAGTAGTAAGGACTTCCCAGCTCAGCTCAGCTAGTACAGTGCAAAAGTGGCAGTGATAGCAGCACTCAGCCTACTCTTCAGTAAAGCTTATTTGCAGAACTGTTCCTGAACCCTGCTTTCTAGCTCTGTGGGGTAGTAGATGGCTGCCCGGGAGATGGGTGGGTATTGAGCTGGGTTTTCAGTGCTCTGTCTCTCAAGGTACCCAATACTTCTGGGTATTGTGACTTAATCCACATTGACCACAGATAGGCAAGGTGCAGTGAGGGTAGTCTTAGCTCTAACAGTCTTTGTGAGACCCCACCAATTTTTGGTAATCTTAGCTGTATAGTTGCTTGAAAACTTAGATGTTTCTATAATCTGTACATTTCTAGATTAATTATACTTTGTTTTCCTTCTCAAAAACACTGGTTCTTGAGTGGTCAGAAGGTGGACAACTCTGAATGAGGACTTTGGTTTGGATAATGGAAATTTGATTTAAGCTGTTCTGTTGTGTTAGCATGTTGGTGGAGCTACAGTTCTTTTCTGGTCTAAGATAAGAGCAAGCCTCTGTTTTCTTGTTTTTAAGACACTGTTTAATCACTTCTAAATATTTCTTCTCCAAGAGGTGTTTTTATATATTACAGAGCCTTTTGCTCTTTTTCTCTTCAAATCTGGACATAATAGACAGGAGGACTCACTAACTTTTGTGTTTACTTTTTCTATGTGTAAATCTCTACAGTAGCTTTGAAACTGTAATTTATTTTTGTATTGAGTGCACTGTATTCTGTGAGTTTGTATGGCTTGTAGTAGAAGCACTACACTGAACTATGAGTTGTCTATACACTGAAATGAGAATTCTAGATATGATCTTGTTCAAATAAAATTTCTGCAAGACATTCATGTTTTATGGTCTATTTCTTGGGCTATTTCTTATCTACATGATGGCTTCAACAGAATTGTTAAGAGTTCATGTTAGCAGGAATGGCAGTAAATGAATCAGAGTAGCACAGTATGGTGTTGGCACATCTGTAAGTCCAGCTCTCAAGAGATGAAAGCAAGGGCTGGCTTGGTGGTAGAGCTCTTGCCTTGTATGCATGAGGCTCTGGATTCAATTCCTCAGCACCACATAAACAGAAAAAGCTGGAAGTGGCACTGTAGCTCAAATGGTAGAGCACTAGCCTTGAGCTAAAGAACTGAGGGACAGTGCCCAGGTCCAGAGTTTAGGCCCCAGGACCAACAACAACAGCAACAACAAAAAGAGTGATAAAATCAAGAGGATCACAAGTTCAAGGCCAGCCTGGGCTATGTCATGAAACCTTGTCTCAAAAATTAACCAAAAGCCTGCTCAATCATCCTAAGCCAATCCTAGAAGGCACAGTGGTTATTCCAGGAAGAAGTGTGGGAAAGTAGATGCACAGCTTTGGCCATGAAATCTAGGCTGCGCCACCCAATACCTCTGGGACATGGAACAAAGCATTTCACAAACTTGAATCTTAGTTCCTTCATCTGCAAAGAATATAGGAATTGTGCATTGGTTTAGTGAAGTGAGCAGGCAGGTGTTGCCCTCCTCCTTCCTCCCCCACGTCATCCCTGCCTTCACCACAGAGTCAGCAAGCTCCTACTCTTAACTCTCCCCTCCTTATTCTAGGCCCTTCAGAGTTGTCCAGGGAGGGAACGAACCTGGACACAGTGACCTGTTTTAGTAGCTGTCCTAAAAGGAAGTATGGGGCACAAAGTAACCATCCCTTCTTGGGAAGAATCTCTGTTCCTCCCTATATCCAGAAAGGGAAGGGATGGGCAGTCTCGAGAGCTTTAGCTGCTGTGTCAGGCAGGAGCTCTGACCACTGTCTGAGTCAAAGGGCAGGAAAGCTATTCAGGCTTTTTCCCAGAAAGGAAAGGAAATGGATACCCCCAGAACATCCAGGTAAGCCCAGCATGGCACCTAGAAAGAGCTTAAGTGGCCAGCACCAAGAAAAACCTAGAAGGGCTAATGGAGCAATGAGATCAGTGGCACTGCTAGGCCAAAGAAAAGGAACTTGCCATTGCTGTGGTGGCTCTCAGCAGTCTGTCTTGGCCCTTCCCTATCCTAGCACACAATCATCTCCTTGTGCTTAAATCCCAGGACTCCATCCTGAGAGGACAGACAACAGCCTTTGTTCTCCACATCAAGGGAGCCCTGCACATGTGTCCAGCCCCTCCCCAACCTGTACCAAGGTCCTTTACACCTTAAGTGCCCCAAGCCCATTCACAGCTAGCACACACTCCAAGCTACCAAAGCACTGATTTAAGGAAGAATAGTCAAGA